ACTTCATCAGCCTGAGACTGGAAGAACTAGATAGTGCCCGGCTACCACCAATGACCACCGTGACAGGGAAAACAACAGAGAGTCTCTGATGGAGCAGGAGAAAAGTGGGGTGCAGAACTGAAATCGTAGCAAAAGGACCAGACTTAGTGGTCTGACTGAGACTGGAGGAACACCGGAAAGCATGGCCCCTGGATTCTCTATCAGCCCAGAACTAAAACAGTTTCTTAGGCCAACTCTTCAGACAGGGATTGGACGGGACTGTGGGACATAAAGTGATACGTGTGAGAAATGTGCCTCTTAGCTCAAGTAGATACAAGAGACTAAACAGGCAGCTTCTGTCTGGAGGTGAGATGGGAAGGCAGAGAGGGTTAGGAGCTGGTTGAAAGGACATGGACAATCGGGGTGGAAAGGAGAGTGTGCTGTCACAATATGGGGTGAGAAATTAGGGTCACATAACAATGTATGTATAAATTTTTGTATGGGAAAAAAATTTTTTAAAAAAAGACTCAAGGAAGCAATTATTCCAAATGACTGTTGGACCACATGAAGCACAGCCTACATGACCCTGAGACCAGAAGAAATAGATGGTGCTGGGCTACCACTAGCGACCTCTCTGACTGGGATCATAACAGAAGGTCCTGGACAAATTGGAAGAATAATTGTAGAACAAAAAGTCAAATTCACAAAAAAGACCAGATTCACTGGTCTGATAGAAACTGGAAGAACACCTGAGACTGTGGCCCTAAGACACCCCTCTGAACTGAAACTGAAGCCATTACCAGAGACCACCTTTCTGCCAAACTATAGACAGGTCCATAAAATAACCACCACCACCCGAGAGGAATGTGTTCCTTAGAACAATCTATTATACCAGATCAAAAGGGCAATATTTGCCTGAAAGCAAAGATGAGAAGGCAGGAAGGAGTAGCAATTCGGGACATAAGGAAATGAGGAATCTAGGATGGAAATGAGGGGAGGGCAGGCACACTGTGGGGAATGGAACCAATATCATGGCACACTTTGTGTACAAACTATTGAATGGGGAACTAATTTGCTCTGTACACTTTCTCCTAACACACAATAAAAAATTATTAAAAAATAATAGTAATAAAATAAAATTTTTATTTAATTGAATATATACAAAATAATATTTCAACATGTAATCAATATAGAATATTGTTAATGGGATAAAATATATATATATATATAATAAGTGAAGTTGTAGGTATATGAGACCACTAAGGGACAAATGTAGAGTAAAAAGCAAAAAGAAGAAGAAAGCCAAGACTAGAACATGAAGAAACACCACCACTTAAAGTGTCAGGCAAATAAAAATAAACCCACAGAGGACATTATGAGATAGTGACCAGAGAGACCAGAAGTGAACCAGAAAGAAAGCTCTCAAGGAAACAAAGGAGACTCAAGAAGGGCAAAATGGTCAAGTCTGTCAAGGGCTACAAAGCAGGCATATAAGATGAAGACTGAGAGGTGTCTAGTGGATTTAGTAATTAAGAGTTCTTGGAGTATCTTCAGAGCACAGGTGGAGAGATGAACTTTGGTGGTGAGAAGGTATGAATGTGTAAAACTGCAGGTAAGTTTGTGGGTTAAGGAAATATATTAAGAGAGTTAAACCTAGTAATTGCAGTTTTATCAGTGAAATAAGAAAAACAAGTTCATCTGATGAGAGAGGAGAGGAGAGAGACGGGGGTTTTGAATAGCCACAGAGAAGGTAAACATTTTGAATGATGCAGGAGAGGGCTGACTAGAAAAAATAATGTAATGAGATTATAGATATTATTGAGAGTACGGTTGAGATTGGATACCAAATACTTGTTATGGCCAGAGTCAGAGAAGTTGGCAATTTTCTCCAGCTATGATAATCAACCTGAGAAAAAGAACAGAAGATGTGACGATTGCATAAATCATTGGGGATTTGGGAGACCAGATACTAATAGTGCTGTTAAAAGTCATAGAGCAAGCAGTGGGAATGAGGTACCTTGGAGTCCAAGCCACAAAGTGATAGGGGTGAAGCCAGGTGGACAACATCCAGAGAAGAGGAAGGAGCTGAGGGACAGAAACAATTCTCTTTGGTGTATATACTGCAGAACCAGTCAAATGCCTTCAGAATCCCTGAATTGAATTATTGATTTACTGCAGCTTTAACAGAAAACATAATAGATTAATTGTATGAATAAGCAATGTTATACTCAAGATCCCCAATTCAATGACTTCAGAAATTTTAAATAAGAGCAAATATTAAAGAGAAAAAATAAGTTTAAAAATGATTCTTTATTCCTTTTAATTTTTAATGGTGAGGTGAGCAACTACTTCTTGCATTTTTACTTTTTTCTTCTTTCCTATTTTCAGAGGCCCTGTAAGTGAAGAAAATCAAGATGGTGGCATGCACTCTGATGGTAAGGAGGGAAAGATGTTTTATATATTTATTTATTACCTTGGGTACAGAAAGTTAAATTAATCATTCTCTTAGAGGCATGGACCAATGATGATAATGGGTCATTATCATCACTCATCCACACAAGACCCCTCTCGTTTCATTTTATTGATTTTCTTTTATCCTCATGACCCACTCATTCCCATTCCTCTCCTACCCTACCATAGACAAACATTCTCATACATGTAATGTGTATTTGTTTGAACATATTCTTTGCATACAGTTATTTATATGTACATATTTTAATTTACATAAACAGTGTTATGACTCACTGTTTTTTTTACACTCAGCATAGTATGTTCATTCATGTTGCTCTGTGTACATTTAATCTGTTGCTTTTAGCTGCTGCAGAGGACTCCATGGCCTGCATCCACATTTTCCTAGCCTCCAACTCACTGCTTCCACACATAACACTGCGATGTTACCTTCTTGTACATATCCCCATATGGACTCTTAGAGACTTTCTTTAACATATACATCCAGCAGTGGAATGGCAGGTCATAAGCCATGATATACTTATTCTGACTGAGTAGCACTAGAGTGCTTTCCAGAATGAGTGCTTTCTAGAATAGCTGCATCTGTCTACACTCCATCAACAATTCATGAAAATTCCAAGATGCCTTGCTTTCACCAGCGCACAGCATTGTTCAGCTGTCCAATTTTTTTCAGTCTAATACGTATAAAATGATATCTCATTTTAATTTTCATATCTCTACTTACTATTGAGTTTGAGCACCTCTTCATTTCCTTTATTACCTTTGGTGTTTCCTCTTCTGTAAATTGCTGATTCATATTCTTTGACCATTTTTCTCTTGGATTTGGTGTTTTATCTGGTTGACCTTCAGGAGTTTCTTAGATATTTTAGATATTAATCCTTTGTCAATTTCAAATATTACAAATATCTTCTTCTATTCTGTCCTTGGTCTAATCCATGCTGTTCTTCACTGAACAGTAATAAATTTTGATATAAACAAATTAATTAATTTTTGCCTTGTAATTTATGCTTTTTAAGTTTTGTTTAAGAAGTTGTTTCCTGTTTCTGGAAAATAAAAATGTTCTCTTGTATTTTTTTATATGAACTTTACTATTTGTATTTAGGTCTTTGATCCCTTTGCAAACAACACTGGAGGAGTTAGTAGAAATTCAGATATGTTTTTTCACAGATGAAGCCAGTTTTCCCATTACCATACTCTGAACAATCCATTCTTTTCTTATTCATTTATAGTGCCACCTTTATACTATATTACCTTTGTATGTGTATTGTATGTATACGCATATATGTGTATATATTATATCTCTGTATACATATATATGTACATATATATATGCATATTTGTGTATGTATCTGTCTCTGAGCTCTCTGTTCTGCTCCATTGGCCCATTCGTTTGTTCTTCTACCAGACCACATTGTCTTTAGTATTATTTCTCTAGATTATGTCTTAATAGCTGGTAATTAGTTGATGTTACATTAAACTCTTCAGCAGTCAAACATTCCTTTAAAAAATGATCAACCTTTAAAAAAATTATCAACCTAAACTGCTGCGTAAACCTTCACTAAAAACACAATAAAATATTATTAAATGATTTTTTAAAAATCATCGACTTGATTTATTTAATATATGAAGCAAATCTTTGGGACCAAATAGGTCAAAAAGTATAAACTAGTAGGTCAAAAAACATGAACCAGTAGTTGTGGTTTGCTAAAAATTCCTTTGTTCCACACTAGCCCAGGGAATGAAATGTACATGCCTTTCAAAAAGAGGATAAACAGTGTCTTAAGTATTTGTTGGTTTTTGCATTACTTTCTGAAATCCAATGAACTTACTATATAATTAAGTTACAATTATCAAGAAAAGTCATAGTAAGCATATAAAGCACATATTCTATTATATATTTCTTTTCCTTTGATAAAACATTATGTCTGTTAGATTATGAACTGTTTTTTAATAATGCCACATTACATCTAATAACCCTGTATTAAAGTACTTCTTAACTACAATATATTAAAATCTTATTCTCTTTTTCTTTTTTTTAATCCTTTAGGTACTGGAAATCAAGATGAGGTCAGCTTTTTTTTTCTTTTTCCTGCTCTAACTAGAATATTCAACAAATTACCGTGATTCACTTCCTATTGCCATAAACAAATGAAAATTCTTATGAATAATGATGATTTTTTTCAATTTGTAATATTATTTCACCTAAAATGCTTGAGACATTACTCATCAATCATTACATCAACTCATAGTAATGGCGTAGTGCTGAACATAAACTAAACTGTATAGCAGGATAGAAAATGAAATCTGTGTGTGCTCACTTTCCCAGTCTATTTCTGAAGAGAAAAAATGTATATTTTTTTCAACAAGCCAAACTCACAAACACTTACGTTTATACTTTTTGGCTAACTACGTAATCAATGTAATGTGTGTGTCTTACCTCTTTAAACCATTACAATTAATCATCATCAATTTTTTTTTTTTACAGGAACAGGAGAGTGAAGGAGAAACCTATGAAGACATGTATGAGTTACATTTTCTACCAGGATATGTTCCTTCTAAGATAAATATATTTTATGTGAGGGAGAGTGGGCAAACAATACTAGAGAGAAAAAAAGCTTTATTTGTTCAAATGACTGGCATATAATGATAACCTTTATTTCAATACAAAGGACTAAAGATTCTTTATTTCTCTAAGAGGTCCACCGAGGAGTCTGTTCTAAAAGTTGTGTGACGGAGACCAGAGACCTGTAGCTTATGAAATAAACAGAGCCAGAAATCTGTATTTTTTGCTGTCAATGTGTCCTTGGGCAAATGAATTAATTTATCTGCATTACACCTACTTCACCTGGGCAGTGCTTCACCTCACAAGGGTGCTATGAGAAATAATTTAACAAGGCACCCAGATGCCAAAGCTTTGGCCTGCAAAAGCAGGAAAATGTTAACAATAGCTCCAGAATGGATTTCCAGGTAGCCCAGGACCAATAAATTTCTTGGAATTTGAAAAATTCTATTCTTTTCTTGGAAAAGCATAGAACTGAATATGTCTTTACCCATATTTTATTTTATGTTGATCTTAGATATCTTAATTTCTCTACTCAATTCTTGTCCAACCAGTTCTGATGAAAGTTTCTGAACCCAAAGGTTACGTGTGTGCACATATGTGTGTGCATGTGTAAATGAGAGACAGGGATTAATTCTATTTCTGCAGCAAGAACAAGGCATTTATAAACAATGCCTTCCGTTTGCTGGCATAATTTGTACAAATTGTAAGGGGAAGTGGAACTATTTGAAGGTATCCTCAGCTATGTACATCCCACTGGTTTTAAGAACAATTTCTTATACCCAGCAATTTTGGCAAACTAAGCCCAGCCACTCTTGGCTTTTTACCTTCATCCATACTTCAGAGGAGCCCTGGTGGCACAGTGGTTAACAGCTATGGCAGCTAACCAAAAGGTCAGCAGTTCAAATCCCCCAGCCACTGCTTGGAAACCCTATGGGGTAGTTCTGCTCTGTCCTATAGGGTCGCTATGAGTCAGAATCCACTCTATGGCAACAGGTTTGGGTTTTTTTTGTTTTGTTTTATACTTCAGATACCATCTTCTCTTGTGGGTAGAAACCTCTGGATAGTGAGCCCTAACGCACCAATGCCTGCAGATACTGAAACAGTATAACAATTTTTATTGACAGAGAAGCATCCAAGGAACGAGAGAAGAAAAGAGAAAAGGAGGAAAAGAAGCGATTAGAGTTAGAGAAAAAGGAACAGAAAGAGAAAGAAAAGAAAGAACAAGAAATAAAGAAGAAATTTAAAGTAAGAGCTTGCTTGCTGATGGGTAAAAGAGTAGCATCTTTTTGTAACTTTCACACAAAAGAAGGGGCGCCATTCTTGAAACCTTACATGGATGCAAAATCATTTAATCGTTGTTTTCTAGGGAGCAACTACCTCCATAACAGTAATTTTTTTGTCCGATATGCTCCCTTATCCCTTCACTAAAAAATGTAATACAATAAAATCCAAATAAAAATATAGTGGCTTATAATTAGTGGGCGCCCAGGAAATTGTATGTTGACTGAGTGAATAAACACTTGGTTACTCAAATCCATCTTGGCTTTCACCCGTACGCATTTCGTATCAGCCTACTTATTATTCTCTGAGCTGAGGACCACACATGTAGCTATCCCCAAGGCATGCATCACAGTGGTGTAAGGGGCACAGTGTCTCCTGGATAAACCAGACCTGTCTCAGAATAAGATTTATATAAGCTATTCTGATTCCTGGTGTCTAGGACCTTACTTAAACATTTTTGCCTTTTTTAAGACTTAGGTACATGCTGACTTCTGATAGCCACTGTTTCTTATCTCTCCTCTTCTGCCCGGATTTTTGACTTCTGTCTTTAGTCTCTGATAATTGTGTGGCCTGTGTTACTATCACCACTAACACTGCACTCTCATGTCTTAGTCTGTCTTGGCTACACTATCTTTGATGTCACCACCCATCTGGTATGGTTCTGGTATGTCAGATATATTTACAGTGATTGTCTGAATTACAAAACTATTCTTCACTGAAGAAAGGATTCATATCAGGGTTCCTTTTAAATCTTTCATTTCCCTAGAGAATTAATATATGGTTTACTTTATAAACTTTGATTTATATATAACTTCCCAGTACATTTACCATATTAAAACAAAGGTACAACAGCATGGTGCAAGGAAACATAAAGCTTAGAGTGAATTGGACAGACCTAAATTCAAATTTCAGCTGCATATCCAAGCTGTGTAACCTTGGGCATATTACTTCTCTAAGTCTCAATTTCTTATTTTGTAAGGTGAGAATAAATAATACCTCTCCTGAAAAGTTGTTGTGGAATTAAATAAAGTAATACACGTAAGGCACTCTATCTATTATAGGTTCTCATTTAAATTTTGAAAAAGTTTACTATCTATAGGTAAAATTATAATTACAGTATTATTAAAACATACTTTACTTGTATAAAATGCATAGAAACCAGCATTTATGTTTTTCAAGTGGAAAATATGAAAGATTTCTTAAATAAAAGTATTTATAACCCACTTTTCATGAAGAGATTACTTATACTTTTGAAGGAATTACGTGAGGTTTTTCCTTTTGTTTCTTTTGGATAAATCAATTTTGCATTATTTCATTCATTCATTCATTTTTTTTTTTTTTTTTTAGTAAATGAGAAACAGGGTATGGAAATCATGCCACTATGAACTACAAGGTCTGTCAAGACTAGCACTTCCCAACCTATGTTCTTTCCACAAGATGTTAATAGATTTCAGCATAAAAGGTTACATAAATGCCATAATGGTTACTATATTTATTGATTATAAGACATATATTATTTCACATTTTAACAGTTCTGATATTAGGATACATTTTCACATCAATGACATATCATAATTTAATTCACACTATTTCTTTTTTATACATGATTAATGGTATGTCTTAAAATTCATGGCATCATAAATTAAATAAAATAAGGTAGAACTTCAAAAGTCACAATGCATACTTGCTTATCAAAAGATCTAAGAAATTCTGTTGAAAAGACACCAATTTTAGTTTGTTTAACCCAGCATATCCCCATGGAATGCTTTTTGCTTAGACTACCTATTAATTTTATGGAGTTTAGAATTAGGAATTTTGAAACCATGATCCAAACTAGATTATTCCTCTGCTGTCAAGAAACAGCTATACTATTCAGGATATTAATTTTAAAAACCTCATACATATACTGTTTGCTGCTTTGATTTATGAAACTATTTCACAAAATGCTATCCTTTTTATAGCAAAGAATGTCTACTTCTAGTTTATATAAAGACAGGTACCACAATGTTAAAAAAAAAAAAGAAAATTATTTTCCTCCAAGTACAACCCACTATCATCACTTACCCTTCCCTTTGCTGTTTTCGGCCTGCAGAGAACCATCAGAATTACTACATAATGCCAAGGAAAAAAATAAAGCATCATCATCTACCAAACTGACCGGGATGTCCCACAAAAACACACTGCATCCAGCATGAATTGTCACTGTTGTTCTTAGGTGCTGTTGACTCAGTTTTGACTCATGGTGACCCCATGTGTTATAGAGTAAAACTGCCCCATTCGGTTTTCTAGGCTGTAATCTTTATGGGAGTAGATTGCCAGGTCTTTCTCCCAAGGAGTGGCTGCTGAGTTCAAACCACCAACCTTTCAGTTAGCAGCCTAGCACTTAACCATTCACCAGTGGAGCTCCTTATGGATTGTTGTACACAAGTGGTATTCAGTTATTAGTGTCTGCCTTTTCAGGCCTCTCACATAGTTCTTAAGGTCAACAGATCACTGCTGCTCTCTCCTGGACCCCAAGCATAGTCTTCAGGATTTTTGCTGGTCCTGCTTGGCCTCTATGATTTTTTACCCCGCCTACAACCAGAACTTCCAGCAGATATACTATTCACCCTCAGTTTATAGTTCAAACCTGAAAGTGTTGCAAATAGGCAGGCTGGCAAGTTGTGGACATATTATTTTTCAAAATTGCATTTCTTAAAAATTTTCTGAATAGCAAGGGAGCCTGTTGTGACTATTTTCTTACCCTGCAGTTAACAGGTCCGATTCAAGTCATCCATCAAGCAAAGGCTTGCTGCGATGTCAAAGGAGGAAAGAATGAACTGAGCTTCAAGCAAGGAGAGCAAATTGAAATAATTCGTATCACAGACAATCCTGAAGGAAAATGGTTGGGCAGAACAGCACGAGGATCATGTGAGTGTAAATCTCCCTATGACTTCAGAGTGTTTTCTTTTTGAGCCAATGTCAACTGTGCAAATTCTCCCAGACCTATTCATAATCATCAGGTTAGGAATAGGTTACAGTCTGGAAAAAGACAGGAAGATTTAATATGACAAGTATAGTTCCATCTTCACCTCATCTGTGTTATCTTTTTAGTGGGAACAATGCAAATTGTTATATTATTCCAAGGAAGAAAAAAAGGCATTAGGCTCTCTCATTGATGTTACAAGGGAAAAAATGGCTCATGGGAATCACTTTGGAGTGTTTGTAATAAAGGCTCTAGGCTTAGACTGAACCATAGCAAGACAGGACTTCGACGTAGCACAGCAAAACGTGTCTTCGTGGGAAGTCTGTAAGTCAGACTTGCAAACAAATAAATAGAGGGAAATTTTAAAGAGCAAATGTACAAATAGTATCTTATCCACAACTTTACAAGATCTAAACTATACTTAAAACCAGCGGCCATCGAGTGAATTCTGACTTATGCCTGAACACAAATGGTTCCTCTTTTGGTAGATGGCTATATTAAAACAACTGCTGTGGAGATTGACTGTGATTCCTTGAAACAGAAAAAAACCTCCCTCGTTGCTCTGTCATCAAGACCTGTTGATGATGACCAACAAGTGTATGATGATGTTGCAGAGCAGGATAATATTAGCAGGTATGTGCAAACGCAAATCCTAAGACTGATCAGACTGTCAGAGATGATGTATTTTAAGATCCTAGAATTTAACCTTCCATATTTCCTATTGTTCTCTATCATGAAACTAAATTACCATTTACAGTAACCCCAATATGGGTGAGAGGTCACTTGAAACTCCATTGTCTTTTATTTTACTCTTTGGTTATATGTATCAAATACTACTTGAAATATAATGGGTCATTTGTCGGAGCTCGTCAAACTTGTTGTCATTCCAAATCACTGTTTTATAATATTCATTATGGTATGATTTGATCTTAGGGCTATGCCTAAACTAAATATGATGTGGTAAGATATGAAGCATGAGGTATCATAAACTTTTTTGCCCTAAGATCTATGAGTCTAAAAGTATTTGTTGTTCTTATTTGAAAAGACAACAGAAAAAGAATGATTTGTACTATAATTTCACTTTGTACTTCAAAAGTAAAAACTCAATTCCCTGTGTTGAAATTAAAAAAAAAAATTGTGATGATCACTCATATCAGATTTATAGAATTCAAACTAGCCTAAAAACTTTTCTTTACAAAGAACTCTTGTTCTTCTTCCTATTCCCCCAAAAGATATAGGTCCTCCAATAATCCCTATCTCAGAACTCCAGGTCACTCATCACACCTCTTTCTCTCTCCCAGCACACACAACCCACCCCCCCAAAAAATCCATAACTAGTTCTATAGATTCTGTCTTAAATTTACCCACATTTCCTCTTCTCTACTGTCACCCTCTGGAAAAAAATTGGGGAAGTCTTCTACACTCCCCCATTCTAATCTCCACCTGGCAGATGCCACAATCATCAAACTGAGCGCTTCTCAAATACTTAGCGTGTCCCATATGTGGCTCAACACATCAGTTTGACAACACACAAACTGCTCTATACCCTGTTCAGTGATAAAGGTCCACTGACAACATGTCTTGGATATTGCAACAATGTCAAGTCGGTATAAAGTTTCCAAACATTTGCTTTCAATTTTCGTTCTTATCTCGTGGCAGATCAGTAGCAAATAGTTCGTTGACCAACACTGGTCCTTGGACGTACTTTGAGGAATATTGACCTAAACTGAGCATATCACTCTCCTGCTTTCTTTGGTTTGCCATTGCAATGAGGATCAACACCAAATTCTTTATCATGACCCATTAGGCTCTGTATGATAGCTCCTAGCTATTTCTCTAGCTTTATCTCCCACTTCTCCTCCTCCTTGGCTAAGCTCCTGTCACACCAGCATGTGTCTTTGTCCTTCTGCCTGAAATGCCCTTCCTACCACTCTCCACCTGGCTGATTCATCCTTCAGGTCTTCCACTGAGAAGCCTTCATCAATTTCCAATCTCAGTCTGGCCTTCCTATAATAAACTTTCATAGTACTCTAGATTTTTTCTTCAACACATTATCACAACTTATTTTTATGTATGTACCTGTAGGATTTTTTTGTGTGTTTTAGTTTTTATTTTGGGTTTGTTTTTTGGTTTTGTTTTGTTTTGTTTGTTCTTTGCATTTTTTTTATTGTGGTAAATATATGTGTAATAAATCATTTGTTATTTCAGCATTCTTCATGTGTACAATTCATTGACCCACTATAAGGAACATATTTTCTTCTTCAGCATATAACATTCTGATAGCTTTTAACTACAACATAACGTCTCTCTTTTTTTAAAAATAATTAATAGAAGATTTATTTAAGCAAGAATACACATAGTCATCATTGCCAGACTTAATATGAGACATTAAATATTCAATCTAATTTTCCTTCCTGGATAAATTTTTCTTTCTTATCTCTGTCAGTTTTGAAAACATAATACCAGAAGAACAGGGGCCCAAATATAGCTCCTAAGAGTGAGGTCTTGGAAGTGGGCCTGAAATCTGTTTTATAACTACTCAATTTGTACTTCTTTTCCTAATTGCTAAATAATTTGTATGTTAATTTAATTTATCTGTGTTTTTTGTTTTTTTTTTTTCCTTTTCCTAGCCATAGTCAGAGTGGAAGTGGAGGTAAGTCACACACTTTTATCAGAAATTTCTCCACAAATCTTAGACATTTTTATGTATGCTAGTGATAGATTACACTAGTTTGCAAATAATGAGTGAGATCCTAATGTGCTGGAAAGAACACTGGACTGGGAGCTGCTGACCTGGATTCTAGTTCTAGCCATCGAGTGACTTCTTTCTTCCAAAGTCAAAGTCACTTCTTTCTACTAAAGTTTGTTCTCTTTAAAAATCAAACGCTTATGCTCATCAAAAGACTTCACCAAAAGAGTAAAAAGACAGCCTACAGACTGGGAAAAAATTTTTGGCTATGACAAATCCAATCAGTGTCTAATCTCTAAAATCTACGAGATACTGCAAAACCTCAACAACGAAAAGACAAACAACCCAATTAAAAAATGGGCAAAGGACATGAACAGGCACTTTGCCAAAGAAGACATTCAGGTGGCTAGCAGATGTGTGAGGAAATGCTCACAATTAGCCATTAGAGAAACATAAACTGAAGTTTGTTCTGAGTCATAGGGTAGCCCCACTTCCATGCGCCCCAGACAGTCTTGGTGTACGCCAGTTGTCTGAGCACAGTTATTAGTAGTACCCCCCTTCACTTTCAAAAGTATTCGTGTTTGGATGGTCACTTAAACAGTCACCTTTGCTGTAGCTGTGAAAGGGAGCCTAGTTTTCTCATCAACAAAATAAGGGAGGTGCTAAAATTCTCATGCTAAGAGTCAAATTTCAAGTTCATTGTACCTATTCTTACATATACAAGGTATTCAATAAACATTTGTTAAATATATATTTGTTAAATGCATAGATGCCAAACAGCAAGGGACCTCAGGAGGGTAAGATAACAAATCAAACAAAGTGTTTAAGAACGTGTATTAAAAATGGCCCCTTTCATTTTTCTCCTTGTTTCAGCTGCCATCGGTGTTTGGCCTTCAAGCTCACCTTTCATTCCATTTGCTTTTCTTCACATGTATCTTGATCAGTGTCTTTTTCTGAATGTCTCCTCACTTTTAACTGAATTTTTCTCATTGTCTCCTAAATTCTTCTCTTTTTCCACAATAAATACTTAACCCTATCCTCTATTCAATTTTATTTTTTCACATACTTATTCCCCCCTTTCCTTTCAAGTTCACAGACCCTCTTATCATTCCTCATTCCTTTATTATAATTTTAGCTCACAGAATTCTCTATAAAACAATCAACAGAGCAGTTAATTATCTTCTCTCTATGTGAGAGTAGGAGAATAAAATTATTTTTTTAATATAAAAGAGAGATACTTTCTGCAGTTAAAGAAGACACATGTATTATCAAAATTTGGGTGACCATTGTGTGACTGAATTATAAAATTAACAAAAGATTTTCTTCCCATAATCCAAATGAAGGGATGTTCCCACCTCCACCAGATGATGATATTTATGATGGAGTTGAAGAGGAAGAAGCAGATGATGGGTAAGTATAATCAGTGAATTGCCTTTTTGCATATTATTGTACATACTGAAACGTAGGATAAAAAGCAGAACATAGTGTTCTTTATTACATTAGCAAAAATAATTTGAATGTTTAACCACAATAGTAAATCAGGAAGTGGTATATTGTTTGGAAGAATCTCAACAACTATCAAAAGAAGTAAAATAAAAAAAAGATGAAGAGTTAACAGGTATTATAGATATTTTCTCAGACTTTTTCCAATGGTTTATCAGTCAATCATTTTTTTTTTTTCAAAAATCTTCAGAAAGTTTATTAGTTGCATAGCTATCCTTTGATAATCATAATTATAAAACCAAAACCAAACCCGTTGCCATCGAGTCGATTCCAACTCATAGCAACCCTATCAGACAGGGTAGAATTGCCCCATACGGTTTCCAAGGAGCACCTGGTGGATTCAAATTGCCAACCTCTTGGTTAGCAGCTATAGCTCTTAACCGCTATGCCACCAGCCACCCAGATAAATCAAGATCATGTGTTATCTGTGGCAGAACCAGTATTGAATACTTACTTCTTTAGGTGATACAGTCTTTTGAAATGGCCCATTTGAAATTTCAGATAAATTAATTACTTACTTTTAATCATAACACAAAGAAAAATTGATGTTTAAAACTTGTCCCTGACTGACTTAGCTTCATATTTTAAGAACCAAAAGAAATTTTACTGAATAGAAAAAAATGACCAACGCAGTATTCGGACACCATGACCTATAAGCTTAATAGCACCATCTTTTTGGATACAATGAGTTGTTCACTGCCTGAATGACCAATTCAGTATAATTGTTAAAAATGTGAAATATCAACCCCAAAGTCTTCACATTCCACTGATTTTTGCATTCTGATCAATGCCTGCGTGCTCCAAAGTTCCACACTACAGGTTGAAGAGAAGAGTAACTCGTGGTCCTGGGGGATTTTGAAGATGTTAAAGGGAAAAGATGACAAAAAGAAAAGTATACGAGAGAAATCAAAAGTCTCTGATTCAGACAATAATGAAGGTTCATCGTAAGAGTCAGCCCGCCAAATCCAGTGCACAATAACTACACTAATATTCACCTAATAAAATGCTACTAACATTTTATAACCAATAACCAAATTCTGTTAGGCTTAAAACATTTCAGTGTTATTCTTCATTAATCATCTCAGCCTCATTCATGTTATCATCCTTAAACTCATATATTTACATAAAGACAGCTTAAAGTATTAAAAAATCATCATATATTTCAAAAATATGTTTTGCTTTCCCCATAAGCACGCAGACAAACACGTGTAGCCATACAGAAACACACATACCCTTGCTCACTAATGCACTCATACACACTCATTCACTCACACTCACTTATATACAAACACACTCCATTTAGTAGAACTTTCTTTAAAACTATAGCATCACCTCTAAAAGCTCACAATTTTAATGCCACATTTTCTTATATATTGACTAATCTTCAAAATATATATTCCCTTTTAAACATTAATTTGATAGAAATTTCTTTTCTCTAAATATAGTCATGGTATTCTATTTGAATTATATATTTCTCATAATCTGAAATTATTTTAAATATCTTGTTTGTCTAAATAAAAGCTAAAGCAAAAATTTTCTCTTTCCATCCCAAAAGTAACCCTTTAGAATATATGACTTCCAGTTCCCTGGTACTGAAAATTCTTACTGTTTTATATGTACCTAATGGATTTACCATATTTAACTGAAGTCTTTATAAGATGTTAATTCTACATACCATTCCTAATTGTAAACCCTTTGTGAAATCCCAAAACAACACTCAATAAACAGTGCACTTGAAATTGTAAGAAAACATAACAAGAAATATTCACTTTATGCAACATTAATCAAATATAATCCTTACTTCAACAGAAATAAAACCAGAGGTTATTTTTATTGCTCCAACTATATATCACCCAATTCTGATTTTGGAGCATTTGAATTAATGATCTATCACACTCTCATTTTACTGGCCATTCCTGTCCTGTGAACCCATTCTTCTAACAATGTGTGTGTGTGTGTGTGTGTATTTACAATCTGTAGCTCAGAAAATAATGTAAGTGAAGGTCTTCTCCTGTTTCAACTAAATGCCACTCAGTCCTGATTTCAGATCACTTATATTAATAAGTTCTCACTCTAGTTAAAGTGGACATTCCTCTCTTATTCATCATTCTCCTGGGTCTGAGTACATATAAAGGAAACATAGTCATATAAATATTCCTATGACCTTTGTTAATTTTGTCTCTGCATCTCTAGTCTTGGATTCAAATAAATTTTCAGGTCAGTGCTGTGCCACAATGGCTCCAAAATAATGAGTCCATTTAATTTAGTCTGGTCTAATAATATGCCCAAACCTCATAGAATAAATCTGAAAATATTTGTCCAATGGCGATTGGCATCTATACTTTTTTGGTCAACGTTGGAGTTCAAAAAAGTCTTGCTAAATTCTAAATTGATGGACAAAAACAGGGACTTCATGGAGAAATGGAGGATGAGAAAGGAATGATGGTCACAGATTAACCTTTATAAGCCTCCGGGCCATTACCTGTTCTAAATAATATCTTCTAAATGAAGGACTCAGTTTGTATGTTCATATTAGTTCAATTATAACTTTTTCTCACTTTCTTTTCAGTTTTCCTGCTCCGCCTAAACAATTAGGTAAGTAGTAAGAGCCTAACTGTATATTTTTTATCTAATTTCTTATTGATTGGGTATTAGGAAAGCATTGTATTTAATCACATATCTGAATTATAGCCCTGTCACTGAAAATAATAAATTATATAACCATGGGCAAATCTCTTCACCTTGGGTGGCCACAGTTCTCAACAATAAAATAGAGGCGAAAGGGAAGGAAAAAAGATTGATAGTTTTTAAACTGTTCTTCCGAGGAGTCATAGGGGCCACTATGGAGATGGTGACAAGATGGGGATGACTACCCTATCTCCCAGATCTCCATACCCTTCTTCAGGCAGAGCACTTCCACTTTTGCCTACTTGATGATGTAGACTCCAAAGATTTCTGAAAACACAGTATATTGTATGCCACCAAGGCCCCTATGAATTTAAATATCTTTAATTTCTTTAATGTGTAATTTATATTTGGTAAATATTCCACTGCTAAATGTAACCAAATTTACTATTTGTACAATTTTTGTCAGAAAATTTTTACCCCCACTGAGACATATCTTAAAAAGTTTATTTTTTTAATTTACTTTAAACAAAATAAAATGTAGTCTTAAAAAATATTTAGGGGCTTTCAAAAGTTTGTTTTAATTTAGGAGTATATTAAACTATCAAACCAAACCCAGAAATAATCTATTCTTCCAGAATATTCATCTGACATTAGAATCTTATTTTCAATTATTAATTTGAAAATATGCAAGAGACTAACATAAATTGATCAATATCTGATGATGTACTTGTATCCTAGTCTATAATTTTTTAAAGATATTCAAGAAACTCAGCTCCACAAAAAGTTGGTATAAAATGGAACAAATATAATCCGTTAAGTTAAAAAATAATGCATTTTGTTTTAATTGTGTTTTGTTCTCAAGTGTGTTTTGAGTGCATGTGCATGGAATAATAACTTTTATTCTTCCAGATACCAATGATACACCATATATCTTTAAATATTTATTATTATATGGACATGTCTGTCTGTCTGCCCTGCACATGCAGACAGGCTGTATCTCAAACTTCCAGGCAACCATAAGACTTCTAGGAATGAGACACGTACACCCACTGGCATCAACCATTCCGTGGGTCTCCATTCATCTGTGATCCAGCAGACAGACACACTAGATGCTTACACAGTGTAGCAAAGTGAAAGCCATTATGATTATTTATAGAAAGCAAACAGTAAACAACAACAGATTCTCAAAAGGAAAACCGCTTACCCTTCCTCTAATTACCCAAGTCCATTCTTATGTCACTGGGCAAGCACTCTGTGGTTCAGGTCAGATGCTATGTTGACGCCACCGCTGCCTCAGGCTACCACCACACTGCCCAAGAGGCCTGCACAGCTCTGGCAGCTTCTACTCTGTCACTGGGTTTCCCTGGGCTTTGCCTCACCAGTGGGAAGACCCCTGCATAGGATCTCCCAAGCCTCTGCCATCGGCTCCCACCACACTATCCAGGCCTGTGGGACTCTCTTGCTGCCATGCTACCTGGCCACTGCATGGGGCACATGCAAGCCTCTTTGCCCTGCACAAGCAAGCATTATAGCCCTTTTAGCTCCACTGGCAAGCCTCCTGCCCAAAGACACTCAGCTCTTGCTCCATGGGCCTGCAAGCCCACCGCCACTGTCTCTGTCTTGTGCCATCTTCAGCATTTGTTCTTTCTTCTGGGTCTAGGAGATCCTCAGCAGGAACTCTGGGTCCTTGTTCCGAAGGATGCGCTTCACTCCAGACTCTCTTTCTTGATGGTGGTGAGGTCACCCTGAACCTCTGTAATTGGCCCTTATGTAAGCCTACTTCTTGTCAATTTTAAGTCATGGCTCTCCCACCAGGACCATGAACTGACCAGTCCCCTTGGTAGACCACAGACTATACTCAATTTGCATAATAAACTGACCAATACACACAGTGGACCATAAGTCACCCAATTTGCATACTCCCAGCCAATCATTTTGTGGGAGTTACAAAACCATGGCTAGAAAGACTATATAAAAGTGGTTCATTGCACCGCAATTATGGATTCATCATATAGCTTAGCAAGTTTCATCCTATGAAATGAATTAACTCTATTAACCTTGAACAGGAGTAGAAAACAGAGACAGAGTTTTTAAAGGCAAACAATTCTTTGCCACTACCAGAGAGCATTTAACTGGGTATATTTCATTCCTTAAAACATTTATACTCTCTTCAACTCATCTCTTCTAGTTAATTTGCTGTGGAGCAAATTAATAGGCTCAGAGACGAAGCATTCCTCCTGACTTGTTAATAAGAACTCTAGAAGGAAAGAGTATCTACAGATTGGAAAAGCCATTAAACTGGTTAAGATCATGGCAATTTTCCACCAATACTCATTTTCAACTTCTGCTGCTATCAGAAGTTTCTTATTAGTAGAAATAATCTTTACATTTGAAGGTGATGCCACTCCTAATATCACTGTAAGGTAAAAGTTAATGAGAAATAGATTAGTTAATAAAAGAGAATTATATAGAGCGATTAGGTGGATGGATTGATGGATGAATTGTTGACAGGTGGACGGATGGACGGACTGACGGACGGACCATTGGACGGAAGGACCAATGGACGGACAGAAGGACATATTTTCACAGCACCCTAAATCCTATAAGAATCTTGATTTCAATCTCCACTGCCCATGGCCAGTAATGTTGATTTGGTTGTCAGCAATCTGCTATTCTGGCCATTCATCCCACTTGTGGATCTTCAGATAATCACGGTCACTGCTTTTTTGAGGAAAACTTAGCACCCACATCCAGGGAGATAAGGACATCTTTTATCTTTAAGGAACAGACAGTCCTTCTAGGAGAAATGTACCCAGACACCAGGAAAATTTGATTGTTCTTAAAACAATCTGTATATGAAAACATTATTGAATGCTTATATCAAAACCCAAACTAATTTGTTTCAAAATTTACTATTTTGTCTTTTTGTTAGACATAGGAGAGGAAGTTTATGATGATGTGGATGCCTCTGATTTCCCTCCTCCACCAACAGACAGCAGGTAATTAGAATGTTTTCATTAAAATGAAGTAATGGAAATGAGACTGTTCAAGATGAATTGCAACTGGCATAAATACTTGGTGGGGTGCATATCTACTGTGTGCAGTCATGTACACTCTGTTCTCCTCACTGAAGTGGTATTTCCTTCAGATCCCCAGCTTTAACGTTTCTGCTGGGTTTTCAGTGGATAGCCCTCATCCTGCCTCCTGAGTCTTCTCTCTCTCTCGCTCGCTCTCTCGCTCTCTCCTTCGCTCCCTCTCTCACCCCCACCCCAGGTTCTGCTGCTTGTCTCCCCATTATCCTGTGCCCTACGACTCACTGATTTCTGCCTTTATTTATTCATTCACTCCCTCAGAAAATACTGCCTCATATTCTTCTCCTTCTTATATTTTTACTCTTTTTCCAAAATCTTTTATGTCTTGTATATACTTCTTAGTTTGTATCTCAGCCCTCACCTTCCATGCTCAAGCATCCTCTATCCTCGACAAGACGATTGTTTTCTTTTATGGAAAAAAGTGGCTTTATTTTTCAGGGCAGTTTTAGCATGTCCCTTTTTCATAAAACCATCAGATTCTCAAAGATTCCATTCAAAATTTTAAAAACCAGTCCACAGTGAATAGTGACATTGTTCAGCATACCTAAAGTTTCAATGTAATTTTAGGTTAAAATTGCATGAAAATCTGTTAAGTTGATACAGAAGAAATCGCTTTTGAAAATTCTTTTGAAATAGAAAATAACATAGTAGGATGCTTTCTTATACTCCAATAACTATGAGAGGTGATCTGATATAAAAAGCGGGGACACCTCCAGCATTTTCAAGAAAAAAGATTAACAAAGACATCTGTACTCGATTAGTTAAAGAATGAAAGTAACATAAATGGAGCACAGTAAGTGGTGTCTTCTGAGCTGTACTGGTAAATATGCACGAATGAACTCCAAGTATTTATTTTTTACTATCATAGTTAAACTAATCTTACTGAACTAACGACAGTATCAAGATCAAAGAATCCGAATGGAAAATAGCTGCCATTCATACATGAAGACCAAGTTCTACAGGTAAAACAAACAAGAAAGATGAAAAGGGAATAATTATTCTCCTTTTTCAGTTCTCTATGAAAGGAAAATCTAATGTTCTTCAGTAATGTGTTCAAGTTTTAATATTCCTCACCATCAGGAAGCCACTTCTTAAAGTTCTATCCCTGACAGTTTTTAGTGCATTTCTCTGTTTTATATTACTGTAGAAATGTCACCACATTCTATAAAACAACCTTTCAGGGAATCAGAATCACACATTAGCCTTTTTCTTCACACAAAATAAATCTCAGCTGATTAAACTTTGTATGATATGTGTTGCTTTCTTAAAACCAAAAAACCAGTTGCCATCAAGTTGTCTTCAACTCAGGGTGACCCTATGTGTGTCAGAGTAGAACTGTACTCCACCGGGTTTTCAATGGCTGATTTTTCAGAAGTAGATCGCCAGGCCTTTCTTCTGAGGTGCCTCTGGGCGGACTCAAACCATCAACCTTTCTGTTAGCAGTGTAGCACGTTAACCTTTTATGCCACCCAGGGACTCCAATACTTTTTTACATGTTGCTTATTTCAGAATTAAAAACAATTTTATGTTTTTAACATAGTATTCTAGTTTTAAATAAATTTCAATAAGTTATCTTCCAAGATAGGCTGTGGGCATTTTTAACATTCATGTATTTTTCTGAATAGCACCAGAAAGCTAATCTGGGTCAGCAATTCCACGAATGCCCAGAGCACCATAAGGCAGAAGACACTGGCAGTGGATGCAGACTCTAAGGCAAAATATTGTGCTATTCATTTCATAATAAATGAGCTAATTTCCAAGATTCAAAAACTAAGGATCAAACATTCTAAGTAAACCATTACAAACAAAACTATATCATAGATAATCTAAATAAAAATTAGTATCAGTTTTCTAAATTTTACATTACTTGTAAGTAATTCTGATTCTGAAAATTCCCTCCTGCAGAGATTCATGGACCTTCCCTAACATCCATATTTAACCGTAGCAAATGGTTCTCAACTCCAGTATAAATTCGTATCACCTGGGGGGCTTTCTGGAGCCCAGGTGGCACAGTGGTTAAGACCAAAAGTTCTGCAGTTTGAATCTACCAGCCGCTCCTTGGAAACCTTATGAGGCAGTTCTACTCTATCCTAGGAGTCAGAATCAACTCCATGGCAATGGATCTGGGTTTTGTTTTTTTTGGTTTTTTTTTTTTTTTTTTGGTTGGGCTTTTACAGTATATATGTCAGCACCTGAGACCCACTCAGACTAATTAAATTAGAACTTCTAAGGACTGGGCAAGGGCATTGGCATTTTTTAAAAGCTTCCCAGGTGATTCTTTGTGTGGCTACAAACTGGAGAATCACTGTCCGAGGCTTATTCACCTCACTTAAGGAAGTTGGCTTTAGTCCAGTTGGTATTTATAAGATAGTGGATTTCCATGCCTAGGTGTTTTTTGTTTTTTTAATATTAAATTCATTCATTGCTCCCAACACTTAGAATATGTTTCTCTCACTCTCTCTCACACACAGAAAATGAACAATTTATAAAGATTATATATTAGCTATCTTCCTTAAGATACTCCTTCTTATATCTAAAATGTTAACTTTTACCTAAAACTTTTTCATTAACCAACATTTACTGCCTCCTGCCCTGACTCTATTTTAAGTACATATGGAAAAATTCACATGTAGATAAACTTCATAAGCCATAAAAATCAGTTTTTTAAAAAAGTGTTATGTTTTATAAAGCCTTCCCTATAACGTTGGTCAGGCCACTTAATTATCTGTGAAGGATTTGAAAAAGATAGATACTTGAAGAATAGATTGAAGCATACGAAAGTGCCGGTACGGCAGCCATGTTTAAGCTACAAATCAGTGATTTTATATGGTTCAACATAATAGATAATCTCTTACTTCCATTTTAACTTATAATCTGTGTTCTCCTGAAGAATCCCCTCTGTGTTATGAAATGTCATCATTTGTTACACTGAATGGTACTGGATTTCTAAGAAAAAAATATTAATTAAAAATAAAATTTAACAAAAATTTAATGTTATGAATTAAGTCTCTATTAAACACTATTCTTTTTATATTTTTGAAGCAAAATGTTAATTGTTTTATGTGTTTTCTGCCATCCTAGTCAAGGAATCAATATTGGGAAGTCAAAGACAGAAGAAAAAGACCTCAAGAAGCTGAAAAAGCAAGAAAAAGAAGAAAAAGACTTCAGGAAAAAATTTAAAGTATGTCATATTTAAATATGACACAAATTTCAAAACACAAATGATTGGCTCAACCAATAATCTTTAAGTACCAAAATGCACATTTAAAAGTATAATTGTCAGTATCACAATTTATCTTTTCCATCATAACTTCTTTATTTTCGACACAATTTTAGATGTAAATTTATTCTTATAGAAAATTAAGCAGTTGTGCATGTCAATATGCATACGTGATAATAATCATCTGAAAATAGCTGTCCTTTGAGCTCGAGTCAAAGGTAATCTAAAAATAGTTCTTACATTAGGCTGGTGAGGTTATGAGTGACTCCCCCTCCCCAAGTTTTTTTTAATGTTATTACATTATCCATTGAAAACAATGAGCTATTTATTTAGCAAAGAACTTTTTAATAAATCTGTCAATAAATGAATTATTGTAATAATATACAACAGCTAATAATTGAAATGTTTTCTTTGTTTTTTCCAGTATGAAGGTGAAATTAAAGTACTATATTCAACCACAACTGTGCCCTCCTTCACTTCTAAAAAGTGGGGGAACAGAGATCTACAGGTGAAGCCTGGCGAGTCTCTTGAAGTTATACAAAATACAGATGATACAAAAGTTCTCTGCAGGAATGAAGAAGGAAAATGTGAGTCACCACTTACGCCATACGGTTATTAGTTCTTTTTGCTCTTTGCTTTGGGAGTTGTGGAAAAGGTTAAGAAACTAGAGATTTTGCTGTGCTGAAATCAATGCATTTTGTTTTAATCTCTTCAATTACCAGATGTACTCCATATATGCATGTGTGTATCACAGGTTTTATACATTATACAAACACACACACACATACACTTTGATGCCAAGGTAATGCCAAATTAGTGTTTCTCAAAATGCAAAATGCAGTGCTACAGACCACTAGCATCATAAAAGCATTGGATGTATACTAAAATCATAGTTGCCTGGACTCACCATTGACTTGATGAATCATGAACTCTGGGCATCAGATGGAATCTGTGATCATAACGTCTTCCCCAGCTTGTTCTTACGTGCACAAAAGTGAAAACTTCTGTGCTAAAGGTAGCAACTATTGCTCTGTCCTGGTTTTAAAATTACAGAGCATATTTCACACCTAGAATTTCCAGTTTTCCTACCTTGCAAATTCACTTGTTTTTATTTCCTACTTGGGCATACTTAATGCAACATTCTATTCCAAACGAATACAACAGAGTCTCTGTCCTTTTTTACTTTACCAGCGAGTACAGCTGACAGATGGAAATATTTCTGTCAGTTATTAATGGAAGTTTGTTCATATAAAGTCCAGGAAGAGTAATTGAAAATAGAATATCTATGAGTTGGAATCTACTTGACAGCACCCGACATCAACACATCAACATATTTGGAATTGGATAGGCAACTTGGCTATTATGGCTGCCACATATCAACCTGGTTGTTTGCATGGAAACCTTGGACTCTGAGCTGAATTTTAATGGGGGAAAGGTGACTCAGGAACAGGAACTGAAATGAAGTTTCAAGAATAAAACACTGTGACTCAATGGTGGGAAAAATGGATCTAAAGTTGTCATGGAGGAGGTGCGATTGGCTTTTAAAAGGAGAAAGTGGAATGAGGGAACAAATGATAAAAAGGCAGGAGCAGTGTAGTAAGACTTGAAGCTCACTGGAAATAATTAGTTGCCAGTGTTCCAGGAGACAAATGTAGATGAGCAAATGATATACCACCAGTAACAGAAACTCAGAGAAGAGCCTCCTATTTTCCTAGGAATCACTGGGCCTTAAGCATGTGAAAGAGGAGTAGCCATTCAAGGAAAATGTTACAATCTGCTGTCATTTCCTATTTGGGCAGCCAAATTCTAAGTACTGTTATAAATACTGAAGGGATCTTGACCTCTTTAAGTTTATCATCTTTTAAAAAGTAGGTGGAAACGTTTCATAAACTTCTAGTAGAGTACAATCATGAGTTCTATACAACTTTTTTTGTTGTCAAGTACCAGTCACTTTATGATTTTACAGTCCCGTATCAAACAAGATGGAAACCAGATGATTATATTGGTAGCACTATATATCTGCTGTTTTTTACTTAAAGACTTTTTTGGGTTGGATTTTACCTTAGAATGGCATCTCTAGAAGCAGACCCTGAGATAAGGATGGGCATGCAAGTAGGTGATCTGGGAAGTGATTCCAGGAACATCAGTGGGCAATAGAGAAGTGAAACAGGGAAGAGAAGACAGCCAATAAAGTCTTGTTATCATGAGTTACGACTGGTAACTGAAGCTTAGTCCTGCTGAGGAACTCTGAGTATTTGTGTTATCCCATCCAGTGGGAAACGGATTTGGGGTATGTACACACCAACTTCTGTCCTTTAGAAGTTGAAGCCTACTCCCGAGCAGGTGGGAAGTCATTCAGGATGCTGATCAATCTGACAAAGAGAGTTCTGGAAGCCAGAGAAAAGCCCTCATGCAGCAACAACAAACAAAAAAAAAAGTTTTTTTTTTCCTTAATCCAAGTTCTGTCAATTCAAAGTTGAGCCAACAGACACTGAAGTGGGAAGGATGAGGGCATATGAGAGGGGCACCAAGAGCATCTGTTACTGCCTTTCTGGTCAAGCATTATTCCAAGATTTAATTATCATATCTGTTTCATTTTTATTTTTCCAAACCTTCTGCTTCTTCCTTCTTTGGACTGGATCCTTGACATTCTTAATTTTCTTAATTTCTGGTCCATCCCCCACCTATCTCTATAGGATTTGGGGTGATTGCTATATAGGTTCACCTCTCCCTCACCTAGATAATTGCAATAGCCTTTCAAATGATGTATCTATCTTCATCCTTACTCTGAGCAATCCACCCATCACACTGTTACCCAAATATTATTTTTGAAAACACAAAAAATCTTTAGGCTCGATATAAAACCCTTTAGAATCTAGCCCCAACCTCATCGACTACTGCTTCCCCATCTGCAGCTAACATCCCAGAAATACCAACTATTCTCATCATTCCTGAAGGAATTATGCTATTTCACCCATGTTTGCTATTCTATCCTACTTGGAATGCCTGTAATTGTCTATTAAGAGCAACTCAGTTGTCATCTAAAATTAGAAACACTCCCACTCCCTGCTTCCCAGCCACCCCGTCACAATTAATCTCTGCCCAATACCACCATCTTGCTGCTTTTGTTGCTGTAATTGTCGTTATTGTTTTGTCAATCTATTAACTCTTATTAAACTCTGTGCTTGAAAGTAGCTTCAATGAGATGTTCTCCACATTATATTCCTAGCACGTTGTACCGTGCCTACTACCTTGCATACCGCTTGCTGAACTTAATGTAGCAATTTGGAAATTACATTGGATAGCTAGATGAAAATCAGACATAAAGACACAGGAAGAAGTCTGTTGACTAGTTAGTGTAACTGGCTGGAAGACAGAAGTTCTCTATCTTAGCCTTAGCAATGTGGTTATCTCGTTGTGTATCACTGGGGAGCCTCTAAATCTTTCAGCTCCTTTTTCTGTATCTTCTGATTAGCAGCAAAGACACTGTCAATCCAACATCATGGTGTCCCTAATATTTTCCTTACCCTCCATTCTTGTTTAATCCACCGAGGAAAAGAAAACATAGCTTACTTAAACCTAAAGCTGGAGATGATAGAAGTTAGAGACGAAAGCATTACCATTGTAGAGTACAGCTACTTTCACAGTTATTATCACATTTGATCAAGTCCCACCCACTTACTTGTGGAAGTGCATACTGTGTAGGCGTGGAGATCTTAAATATTACTGGCATATCCCCAACTGTTTAGACTTTCTCACTAATATTTGTGCATACTCCAAAACTCAGTATCTTATAAGCTGTGAGTTTTCCCACCTCCTGTCACTGGAGAAAAATTTTCTGCAGAGTGTGGAATGAGGGATGAGCTGAATTATTTGTGGCCAAAAATGTTCTCCATTTCCTTTGGGTATCAAAGAAAGAGGGACTTTAAAGTAGCTTCAGGTTTTCCCAAGTCCAATTGATCATTTCTTTGCTTAAATATTTTTTCCATTTATGAAATAATACATGCTTACTGAAAAAAATTCCAAAAATTCGGAAATTGAAATAATCTTTCTAATTTGAAGCCCCAGAAATAGAGTGAGAGAGAGAGGAAAAGAGGAAGGAGAAAATTTTTATAAAACTAGGATAATAATTTATGTTAGGTATCATACATCACATTTTGTTTTTTCTTTCTATTAATTATGAGCATTTTCCCTTGAAGTTGGAATTGTTCCTCTTTCCTAGGTATATCTTTGTAATATGATTTTATTGCTTTTAAAACTACATAAGGCCCAACTGAGTAAATTTAACTTTATTTCTGGTTTTACTCAATAAATGAAATTATAAGGAAATAATACAAGGTGTCATTTTTATTAAGTAAAAAAAATTTTGAAAAATATTAGAAAAAATATAATTTCTATTTTTTCCAAAGACTGTTTTTTACTTCCTTGGTAATTCTGCATTCACAGCACCCTCCTGAAAGGTGAGTCATTCATCCTGAGACACATCTGCACTGTAGCAAACAAACGTTTTGGGAAGAAATTAATTGGTACATATGGGGGGTGGGTGTTAACTTTTTTAACTGTCTCTGTCCTACCACATATTTCAACACATTTGTTTCAAGCCACTGTGTTCTGCTCTCTGAACATGAGGTTTCCAACTAATAATTTCATATTATCTGTGAGAATCCCTGGTGTGGCAGCAATCTCAATATTGAAGAGCTGATTAAACATGGCAGCAGTTCTACACAGGACAGAGCCATGATGAGTTTTTTTGTTTGTTTATCTTGTTTGTTTGCATTTTTCATTAACATTCCCTACTATGGACTCACACGGAACATGTGAGCAAAGATAATTTTTTCTACGTCAAAAAAATAGTTAGAGATTATAATGTACAGATTATATAAAAATTCATGGTAAGTCACTTGTTTTGACATTGTTCTGAGTCATGATTTTAGTAGAATGAGGTTTTGGCAGAGATTCTTCAAAGAACTAAACAACAAAACCTATGGTAGATTAAAAGTCATTAACCCTGTAAAAATTCTACATAATAGTGATTTCATAACTAATGAGCCCCAAATTATCACATCATTTCAAGAAGCTAAAATAGAGCAGCACAGTACCATCCCACACTCTATCTCTTTGATATATCTTTCTTAAATAATATTCGCAATCATTGATATTTATGTACTGTATCACCACCAAAAAAAAAAAAAAAAACCAAAAACCCACAGTGTTCAACAAAAGAGAAAGCTGTCCTTAGAACTCTTAAACAGGCAAGATATAGGAGTGAGTGTAGTAGGAGTCTGAGAATCTAAGAATTTTTTTTTTAATAATTTAAAGTTGAGAGTTAAGCTCTATGTTATGAATTATTGACTTTGATCACATAAAGCCCTGTTTTAGTGCTTAATTACACATGATATTTTCTCTAGGTCTATAAAATCTTAGCACAATTGGGTTAAAAAGCAGATTACCTAAAAGTACAGGAAAATAAAACCCTTTAATTTCCAAAAATGGCATTTATATTCTCTTTATTTTGAACCTTATTTCTCTTAATCTTATAAAGATTCTGTTTAAAAAAAAGAAATGCTTTTAATGCTAGAATAATTCC